CACAACAATCAGCCACTAAGCCTTCTGGATCTCCCTGTACACAATTCCAAACAATCTCATTCATTAAAACAAAGGGAACTCATTGTAAAACAAATCCCAAAAGATTCATCTAGCAAAGAATGACCAAAATTCTTCCACTCCAAGTAAACTTTCACTAGTAGAAATTTTCAACAGAAAATAAAATTTGCAGAATTTGTTAAATAATGGTTTCAAAGCTACTTCTTAATAATTTGCTTTAATGTTTTGAAGAAAACTAAAAAAAGATAAGGGTCCCCTTATTTTATAGAAAGCATCTCCTGGGTGAAGAAGACAAGCAGTTCTCTGGGAAACTTTATGAAATAAACATTTTAATCAATGTGGTGTTATTTTCAGAGATACACCTCACTTAAGATCCCAGAAATGCTTTCTATTATACTTAAAACCTAAATAAACTTGAGGAGTGAATTGGGTCCCTGCGGCAAAATTTGGTTCTCTCCTGGTGGCTCTTTCTTTCCCAATCAACGAAAGAAGGAAAGCATGAATTACCACATAAGTCAATGGAGCTAATAAACCTAGAAATAGAATGAGCGTGCGAATTTATACATTTCATTCAAAAACGCTCCCATAGAAAAAAATTTCAGGAAATTCCCCTTCTCCTTACCTTTTGTTAATTGCAAAATAGACACATTTCCAGGAGCAAGGAGTTGCTGAGAATTTATCTAGAGCTCACCTCAAGGCACTGGACAATCATTCCCCTCCACTCAGTGCTCACACTGCCTGGGCCATCAGCTGAAAGCACACAACCTTCATTTCTACAGCAGGGGTCTTTGAATTACCCTTTGAGGCTTCACTCCTTCACTCCTTCCTTCAATCTCTCCTGCTGTAAGCTTTGATCGGAGCTACAGCAAAGCATTATCTTCCTAAAGGTTATACAGAAAAGTAGAAAAAATTGCAATCTCCATAGAACAACCCCGGTTGGCACCAAGCCACCTCCAGGAGAGACTGCAAACATGCTGATCCGGGTGAGGATAGACTAACTCAAGGACTTCAAAGACTTACCAAAGCAATAATGACTAGGATGGAGCCCTCCAAAAAGGCATCATGCCCCAGTGGAAAGAGGTTGGTTCTAGGTCAGAAAAACCTGGCATGTGCTGCCTTTCAGCTGTCAGATCTCAGGCAAGTTACTTGACTTCTCTGAGCATCACTTTCATCATCTATATAATGATAATGGTAAAAAGGCAATTACAATGCCTAGAAGCATGGTTGACACCAGAATTAAGAAGAATTAATAGAAAGGATCCTGTTTAGAGTAAAAACATCCATCAGTGGTAGCAATATTCATATCTGTATTCCCCAGATGCAGTGCCTTGCACAAAATTAAGGTTAATAAATATTTGTGGAAGGGAGGAATGGAGGGAGAGAAGGGGGAGAGAGGGAGAGAGGGAGCAGGAAGAAAGAACTTTGAGAAAGATTCAAGGCTAGCATGGAGAGAGGTATTTCACTTTTTAATTAATAACTTTCTCAAATATATATATATATACATATATATATGTGTATATATATATTCATTTCTTTAATACCATGGTCTGGGGACACCATGGAATGTTAGCCAACACCACAGATCCTGCAGATTAGTCTTCTGACGACTGCTGCGGTTTCACTGCCTGTTAGAGCAATTACGTTCACCTTCCCTCTTACGGCCAGCTACAGGTCATCACCTGGGCTCTGCTATCCCAGATCCTCTCATCTCTGCTGACACTAGGAAGCCCAGTTCTGTGGTGGTTTCTCCTGCCATCAACCCCAGTCTACAAAGGACAACCACTATGGAGCCTCTCTGGGAGCAGGTGCCCCTCTCTAATGCATTCCTTAACACTTCTGTGAAGGGAGTGTCTGAGGAACCTCCAGGTGAACAGAGTCAACTGATGAGTTCTTGGGTCTTACGTAATAAATCCATTCCAGCAGGCCCACCTCCCTGAGCCTTTTATCCTCAAATATTCTTCCAGGACAGTTCTGGCATCTTCTCTCCATTAATATAAGCCATTTTCCCCAAGCTTTAAAGAGCCATCCCAACAGCTCAGTGGAACAAGATCCAAGTGTAAGAATGTTAAGTCCTGATTCATGGGAGAAGGTGCCCATTAAAAAAACTCTTATCCAGTCTTAAATTCTGCCACCCTCCCCCTCATCCATTGAGATGGGAGCCCGACACCCTCAAGATCCACTCTCATGTGCATTCTAACTCATCCCTGTTTACGTTCTTCAAGTCCTCAGGCAGCTTCTGTGGAAGATCTTGTTCTACCATCACCCATAAAGTCCTTCCCTGGTTGGGTTATCCTTAGATTTGAACTTAATTATCCATAAGAGGTTGTGGGAAGTATGTGAAGAAGTCAAGTATTAACACAGGCAACATCCTCCTTGGCTGGGGCCTCGGCCTGGCCTCAGTAAGGGGAGGCTGATCTCTACCAAGGAGAAGTGGGCCCCTTCCGCTAGGGAAACTCAACTCATCCACTAATTGTCCCCATTCCAGACCTCTGTGTCCCACTCCTTCCCTAGAAGGACCTTGACTTAAGGATAGGAGACTGCTGGGCTAGTGGATGCAGCCTTTTCAGTAATGCAGCAGCTCTCCCACTTAGGTCTGAGGCCTGGTGTTGGGCACAGTGTGCCCTCCAGCTCCAGGAACAGAGGATGTCTTCGGTTGTGGCATTCGTGTCATGCCCTGAATGCTTTGACTGTATTTAACAACCAACTAATCCCACAGTCCTGACAATTTCCATTGTTCCTGCATCTCTCAGATGTTATAGATACTGATTAGCCAACACATACATTTCCATATGTAGCCCAACCCAGGGAACTCTTAGTCATTGTGATGCTATGGATGCCTTATGACCCCTCCCCATCCCCCACCCCGACAGCTAACATGACTGCCTGTGGCATTTCAGCTAAGCATCCCAGAAGATAGCTATGCTGGATTTTATCCATTCATACCCCCACACACACACCTAGATCCACTCTCCACTCTTACTCAACCTGCTTCTCAGGAGGCCAACACTTACGGACTGAATCAATGGGCTCCCAGCTCCCTTGCTCTCTGCCTTCCCATTTAATTCTGCTGAAAATCAGAATGTGGAACAGAGTGATTTGGGGGTACTTTCTCCCCCACCCCCGGGCTTCAGTTTGGGACTGGCTGGGTCATCCTAAAAAAGATCACAGCTCCCAGGTGGCATTCCTCTTCCACTCTCTCTGGGGTCTGATAATCACTTACTCTTCTTCTCCTTCAGCCTAGGAGATGTTCACCTCTTCTAAACAAGTATTTGGAGCGTTTTATCACCCCTTGTTGGTTTCCTTAACTCTGCCTACACATTTATAAATAGCATCTTCCTTGAACTGTCCTCAATATCCTGCTGCAGTGTACCCCTTGTTTCCCAGAGGGCCCCTTACAGATGCTGTAGTCACCTTCTCTCACATTGTGACAAATCCTTACTGCTTCTGCTTTTCTTCCCTAAGTTTCTCTAAAAGGCAGCCCTTTCTATCAGAAAATTCTGAGGGAAGTTCTTAGGGACGGGCTGAAAACGCTTGAGAAGGGCCACGCCGCATTGTCCCTAACCACCACCCACTGGCCGGCAGAGATGGCAGGTGCTCAACTACTTGTTATGTGAGAGTGACTTTCTTGCCTACCAACAGATCTGCACTAAAGACTGGGCTGGATTTTGCTCATGTCCTTTGTCCCCAGATGTCCACCTCCATATCCTAGTCCTTGACCATCAATCCCAACATTCACCTTCCTATTTTCATGAGGACTTATCCATTCCTCATTCCACGAGCACTCCCGGCTCCCAGCTGGGATATGCCAGGGGTCTGAGTCCCAACGGAGCCACCTCTTGGATCATGAAATCCAGTCCCTTCCTAAACGTGACATCCTAAATTAATGTGTAAGTAAAAGTAGCTTTGGGTTTCATTTTGAGTGTGCTTGCTGTTGTTATTCCAAGTATATTAAAAAGACTAAAAAGACTTTTTTGAAAGTTTTCATGAATTCAAAAGACAGAGGACTTGCTTTATTGGCGTTAATACAGATTTTCTTGGCATATCATGAAAAAGGAACAAGGCTCATTTCAACCCCAAAATGCTGGAATTAAAGACACTTGCATAATACCAGAGTTAAAAAAAAAAAAAAAAAAGCACAGAGAATCAGCTGCTGTAAGATTTTAGAGAGCACAAGAGCTCGACCATCACAGACTTCCCCTGAGCCAGCAGTGCAGCTTTACCCCACAAACGTGCAAAATTTCTGAGTTTAAAAAAGTCACAAATTTAAAATATACTAAATGAGAAAGAATATTTGCGATTAATCATTTGGGCCTAGCTTCGGGAGATCATCACATGAGTCTAAAATCAGAGTTTAGCTGCAACGTCTTTAGACCTAAATGATGGCTTTAGTTACATATTTTTTTCTGAGGCTGTTTTTTTGTTTGTTTGTTTGTTTTAATCACAAAAGGGCCTCCTTATTCAGGAGGTCTTTGAGAATTATGCATGGCCAAGAATCACCCAGAACTGGAGGTTTCTCAATTTCAGCTACTATTGTCTCCTTTTTTAATCTGAGCAATCTCTGTTTCTTGTATAGGTAAGCACTCAATTAAAACAAGAAGGGAGTATTTTCTCGAAGGAAGCTTGCAGCTGGATTTTCTTTGGGGATGAGAGGACAAAGCATTGGTTTTATTTCTGACTCTTAAATCATAAATCTCGTCAGAGACCAATTGTTAAATAAGACATGAGAACGTAAAGACTTTCTAGACCCATTTCCTAATTACTCCCACTGTACTTAAACCATTGGCATATTATAAATCCAAATTGGAGGAGGATTGGGATATATGGAGATTATGTTCTGAAATTCAAGGTAAAGACAAAATAATTTGCAAGTGTGTGAGCCAGAGAAATTATTGTGGTGAAAACACAGATACTGTTTTGCATTTTTAGCATCAATAGGCTGCCTCTGGTCCTTGTGCCTCAGTTGGACCTAAGGGGGACAGGTACCCTCCTCCACAGGGGTAGACAAAACTAGACAGTGCTCGAATGCAGGGGGAAGGCTGCTCGTGCTGCCCATGTAGGTGGGTCTGGGAAGCTCAAGGCCACCAGCTGTGTTCTGCCGGCCACATCAGCTTCAGATGGTCTCGCACTCCGTGGTGGCCGTGGAGCAGGCCCCACAGTCACAGCGGACAGCCACGGGGTAGGTGTAGAAGGGGTCCACTCCAGGGGCGCAGTTGGGCAGCTTGACTGTCACTTGTCTGGTCTCGTTGTAGGTACAGACTCGATGATAGGCTTCAATGTAGGGGGGTTCCAGAATGGGCTTCTGTCCCCACAAGTAGAAAACAGAAAACCCATTAGAACATACCATCCTGTTTCTTGTTCTCGGTACCATTTATCACATCAGAAATTAACTCACTAGTCATTTATTTACTTGTCAATCTCTCTCGTCCCAGTAGAAGGCAAATTCCTGAAAGCAGCAACCTGCTTTCCATATCCTGAGCTCCCAAAAGAGCCATGGCACACGGCAAGTGCTCAATAAATATTTAGCAAATGGATATTCCTGATCATTGCAAAAGTCTTCTAACTGGTCTCTCTTTCACCATCATCCCCTACAGTCTCTTTATGACACAGCAGCCCCAGGCAATTCTTTTTAAAATTAAGTCAGATCCTATCTCTTCTCTGCTCAAAGCCCCAGACATTTCCCATCTCACTCAGAGTAAAAGTCAAAGACGTGCGCCTTCGAGACCCTCTGCTATGTCTCCATCCTCCCTGTCTTGCTGGCTTTCTCACTCTGCTCCATCCACAGGAGTCCCTGATCGTTCCTCAGACCCACCCACGAACAGTCCCACTCCAGAGTCTTTGCCCTGTTAATCCCAGTGCCCAGAACATTCTTCTCCCTTATGACTGACTCTTTTGCCAGCCTGCCATTTTGCTCAAGCGTCACCTTCTCACAGAAACCTTTCCTGACCATCTTTAAAATTGCAACACCCCACCTCTACACCCTGCCATGTCCCCACCCTCTTACTGCTTCTTTCCTCTATAGCACTTGTTAGGACCGGGTGACACTTTACATATTGTATTTATTTGTATTGTGTTTCCCCCACCATTAGAACAAGGATTTATGCCCATTTTACTCACTGCTGCGCTTCTACTACCTAGAGTAGTCCCTGTCACCGAAGAGCTTCTCAATCGCTATTTGTTGAATCAATGACAGAAGACAGAGCAAGGAAGGTTCCAGAATGCCCTGTGAGCTGTTCTGATCATCAAAGGTTTCACTTCCTGACTTCCCCTTTTATACATCTTGAACTCCAAGATAATTTTATAAAGAGCCTAGAGATCAGGAAATGAGCACAAAATAGTAGTTTAAATCTCAAGCCCTGGAGTGGAACCTCCATCTTCTAGGAATTCACCAAAATGACCAACACGAATGAGAGGCACCCACACTATGTTCTTTAGGCCTTTTAGAAAACGGAAGTTGTTCCCTTGGTCACATACTAGAATCCACTAGAAAGGTGATCTTGTTGACATCCAGAGAACGGGCACTGTTCAAAAAGGAGTGTCCTCCCAAATGTTACCATGGCAAATCTGGAAAAGTCTACAGTGTTACCCAGCTTGCTCTTGCCATTGTTATAAACGAACAGGTTAAGGTCAAGATTCTTGCCAAGAGAATGAATGTACATACTGAGCAGGTTAAGCCCTCAAAGAGCCTAGATAGCTTCCTGAAGCACATGAAGGAACGTGATCAGAAAAAGAAGGACACCAAAGAGAAAGGTACTTGGGTTCAACTGACATGCCAGCCTGCTCCACCCGGAGAAGCATACTTTGTGAGAAGCAGCAGAAAAGAACCTGATCTGGTACAACCTCTTCCCTAGGAATTCATGACATGATAAGTGCACAAAAAATAAAAGGCCACAAGACTGTATAAAAAAAAAAAAAAAGAAAAAAAATTCAAATCCTGTAATCAGACCCTTAACCTTAGGCCCCTGTTGTGCCACTTGCTGAAGATTTTGGAAAGTCCACTTAATTTCTTGAAGCCTCAGAATCCACAACTGTAAAACAAAATCTTCCCCTCACAGCCTCTTTATGGGGATAAGGTAGGATGACAGATGGAATGTGCAAGGCCCAGCACCAAGTAAGTGTTCAGTAAATGTCATCTCTTGTTCCTACCAGAGCTGTTCTAAGAGTAAGGAAGTAATAATAAAAGTAGCAACTTACAAGCTTTCAAAAAACAATGTCTTCACTTGTATTGGGTACATAAAACATAGGTAATGAGGCCCAGAACAAAGTTCTTCCATGAACATCATGAAAAAGTTTGGCTTTGCTTTTTCTAAGGACTACGCGGAAGAGCTCAAGTTAATATCACAGCTTCCTCCACTTTTTAGACCTCTTCAGTTTGCTTCGTATCCTCTTACCCTCAGTAATCTGGAATCTCAAGCAGAGTTGCTACATAAAATCTAAGACACTCAGTAATATTTGAATGTCAAAATAAACAACAAAATTTTTTAGTGTAAAATATGCCCCCATATATTTCATGGGGCAGACTTATACCAATAACAAAAAAACAAAACAAAACAAAAAAACCCACAATTGTTTATCTCTCATTCACATTAAACTGTCATCATGATCTGGTTTGGTTTGGGTTTTTTTGATAAATCTGACAACCCTAAACCCAGGCCAGGAGCAAAGGCTATTTTCAGCAATGTTCTACCTTTGAAGTAAATCCAGCCACTTTGTTGTCATGGACATCCTCATTTTAGACATGCTCTCCAGTTCCCAAAAATAAGTGCTTTATATCTCAGAAACTTTCAGATTACTGGGAAAATAAATTTCATTCTTTTATTTATTTTCTGTAAGTGACCTCCCTGTACATACAGTAAAGGCATAAATAAAAGCTGGCTAACATGAAGGAGAATCTTATTCTCTAATTGTCTTGATGCTTCCATTTCTCCAGTGAGAACATAGTCCCTGACCTCCTGTGGGTGCCCAGGGTCCAATTAAAGACATTCATCAATTTTTAAAGAGAAGAGGAAAATGAGCTGAATTGAAGGAAACACAGTTTGAAATCTGGGCCCAGAAAGAGCTCCAAAGAGCTGAGAAATGAACTTTAAGACACAGCCAGGCCAAGCCCTGAATATGAGAAGACACCAAAGCTCCCCAAGTCAGTTTGATGTCAAGTCACGGCCATGGTATCCTTAGCAGTTGAATTTCCAATTGGTTGTTAGGTCTTATACCCCTAGATGATGCAAAAAATACAGCAAATTGGGTGGAATAGCTTTATTTCATTTGGAGATTTCATCACCATCCCCAATCCACTCATGGGGTCATACTTTTATCTAAGTGATAGCAGGTTGCTCTCTGAGTCCCTGACAAGATGGCTATTTTTTCTCATGCCAGTGTCCTCTCGTGGTGCTCATGGACTTCTAAGTTTGCATCAATTAGGTTAAAAGATGTATGACTCCAGATAGAGGTCAATCGCATATAATTCAACAAATATATATTGAGTGTCTTGTTCCTACGTGACACTTCAACAAGGGCTATCAAAGGCGCAAGAATGAAACTTCTCTCCTAAAAAACTTACAATCTTGTGTTGTGTGGTGGGGAAAAGTAACACAAAAGGTAAACCAGTCAGGGCTGGCCAGGGAGTCAGAAAATCTCTAGGGAAGGAGTTGGCCCTGGACACAAGCATCATAGGATATATTTAATAACAACAGATGAAAATGAGAAGGGATATGAGAAAAAGACCAAATGTGAGATTTCACAAGGGATGTTTAATAAAACTTTTCAAAATCAGTCTGACAAGACCAAAGCTCAGGACATGGGTAGACATTGGGAAAATAGGCAAACTTCATATTGCTGAGAATCTTGGATGTTGGCTTTGGAATTTCCAATAGTGGGTGCTCATTAGAAGTCTTTGAACGAGGGTGACAAACCCTCACTGCAGCTTCATTAATAACCAACTCGGACCTCAGTACAGAGTCAACAGTCACTCCATGGTATGATGGGACACTCTATGATGAATGGGCCCTTTTCTTCTCATCTTGCAAACATCTCCTCACCTCAGCCCAATAGAGTTCTAACTTTGTCTAAGATTTTTAACCTCATTTTAAATGTAATGCCTCTTAAGAGGCTAGATGGGTATCATTGACTACAAAGGGACTTTGTGGACATGTCTGTGACAATCCCTGAGGTCCCCACAAATTGCAGTGGGGAGCTGGGATAGGGCCACGCTGTGCATGAGCCACTGAGAGAAGAACTGAGGACCTGCCCTCGCCTTGCTTGACAGCCTAAGGCCTATTTCTTGTTAACTGGCTGGCTAGATCACAGGTAGAAGAATATAGAGAAAGTTTGGTGACACGCTTGAACCAGCGATTTATTCCCAACTTTCTCCTGACTATGCATATAACTTGGCAGTCACTCACTCCTTGAATTCCTCCATGTCATCTGGAAAAGGTGTAGAATAATAGCATATCTTAACCTTCCAGAGATGATTCCCAAATATGCAGACACTATGTAAATATGAATATTAATTTTATCAATGCTTTGTTAGAGGGGCAAGTTCATGCTTCTTTCAGATTTTTTTTTTGGAGAATGCCAAATAATTGTCATTAAAAAAATTCCGCAGGAATGGCCCCACTCTACCTCATTTTATTTAAAAAGTGAACACAGGAATCAGCCCAGGTGGCCGGCCTGAAGGCTTTGCCTTCAGTCTTGAGACTCACCTCCCAGGTTTCACAGCGGCCCCAGCAGGCATCCGTAGTGATCCGAAGGCCCCTGCAGCCTGGCTTTTTGGCCAGGAAAGTGAACTCCCTCACAGCACAGCCCACAAAGGTGAGCAGGTTCCCACTGGAGGTGCTGAGGACACAGCTGCAGCCAGCGAGGAGGAAGAGGGCCATGGGGCCAAGGAAAAGGTATGCCAGCTTCATGGTCTTCTTCCAGAGATGGAAAGGAAAGACAGTTTATTAAGAGAGCCAGCTTCCCAGGGCACCTGGGTGGCTCAGTCAGTTAAGAGACAGACTCTTGGTTTCAGCTCATGTCATGATCTCGGGATCGTGAGATCAGGCCCGGGCGTCAGGCTCCACACTCAGCACAGAGCCTGCTTGAGACTCTCCCTCTGTCCCTCCCACCTGTGCTTGCTCTCGCTCTCTCCCTGAAATAAATAAATCAATCTTTTAAAAAAAAAACTAAAAAGAGAGCCAGCTTCCTTCTAGGGAGTGACCAATGATATTATGGTCCTCTTAGCATTTCAGAAGAAATGAGCCAAGAAAGTGCAAATGCCCACAGACACCAACATAATGGCCCAGATATTCCTCTGACTCCAGCATGGTTTCCACGGACCTACTGTGCTCACCAGACACCTAACCCCTCCCCTAGGGCATTTCAGGATTTTCCTTATTGTTCCCCAACTGCTGGACTTGACTCACATGTTAGAGAGCTTTATTCCAATGGTCTCTTCAAAATAAATGCAAAATATGAGTCACACCAAAAGTAATGCATATCTGAACATACTCCACAAACACACACAAATTATTTTTGTTCATATCTAGGGTATTTGGTGCCATGTTCCCTACCTGCTCAAAATTATATTTTTAGTGTCATGGATGGGGAAATGGAAGGGATGGCAATTAAAAAAAAAAAAAAAAAAAAACACCTCCATGCCCAGATGTACTATTACCAACCCAGTGCACAGAAAACAGGTATGTGCATAAGATATTATGACTCCCGGCACCTGACTCGGTAGCATTTCATAAAAATGTATCCTATTAGCTACAAATTGCCTCCGCTCTATGCTTTCACTGTAATAGGCACCTGGTTGTGATTCAATTTAATTCCACACATTGGAAAGCATTAGAAGGGTTTAAAACCTAATCCCAATCTACTGTCAAGTCTATCCTCCCTGGGTCATGGTGATTTTCTGTGCTTTTCCAGGAACCAGAGTCATTCCTTACAGGCTTGGCCCACAGGACAGAACACACCTGGATGTTAAAGGGAGGGTGGACACCACGTGGCTGGAATGTCCTCCATTCATTATCGCCTCAAATAATTCATTACTGCTACAGAATTATTTATTTTCAAATCGGATATCTCGGTCTCATCTACTTCTCCTGATCTACCTCTGATCTGTCACCTTAGCAGGGCTCTTTGGAGTTCCCTTCTGGTGGACTGAAGCTACAAATATGGAGAAGCACTTACCTGATCTTGCTGGAGCTAACTCCTTTTAGAGCTCACACTTGCACCCAAGAGGTCAGAAAATCACAATGAGTGCCAGAAGTTTGCTCTGGTAAATGTCTCTACCCTCTGGTACCAGGCTGCTTGACTGCTCAAATATATAGGAAGGGTCTTGTCAATCAAAACAAAAGAGAGGCAGATCCTTACAGGAACCACTAAACACATCAAAGCCTTGGGATATAAAGCCAGTCTCTCTTTTCCAAAACTGATTAACTTAAAGGGTGTTGTTTTGTTGCTTAACATCACCTACTGAAACAGAAAGTTACCTTGGTGGGTGACATAATCCTAGGGAAACAGTCAAAAGTAGTTCACCTGGGAACAAATGCACTGGGGCAAGATGGATTAATTTTCCTTCATGGTAACCACAACTTTCCTTCGAAATAGGAGTCAGTCACTAGCCGCTCACAACAAATGCTTTCCCTTAGCTCACAACACATTTCAATACATTGAAAATAACAAAACGGTATTTCTTCCTGGAACGAACACAGGATCACAAGCTGAAAGGATGGAACTCACAGTAAGAAGAAACCTTTGAAAGTCTTAAAATTAGTTAAGGATTAGCTAATATTAATAACACTTTAAAATGAGTTTATAGGAAAACACACACACACACACACACACCCCAAAATGTCCAAAGAGATTCTCTTGTGGCACAGGAATTAAAGAGGACTTTTTATTTCTTCTATATGGTTTTCAGCATTTTTCACATTTTCTACACTGTGCAGGCTTTTAGAATGGATCAATTAATATTGACCCTTTAAGAATTAAAATAAACCAATAAGTATATATTTGGGCTATGTGTAATGATATTCAATGTTGTTCTAACAGAAATGTTTCATTAGACTCTGGTTCTAGAAAGTCTGAACTAAGAATGCAATAGTATTCTTTACGAGCATGGGACACAGTTTATATTCCAATCTGCAACAGTAGCATACAAATGGATTAAAGACCTCATTGGTCACAGTATTATTCTGGGCGCTCTAAAAAATAAATGAACCAGACACCATCCCTGCCCTTAGGAGTTTATATATCACAGCAAATAATGACATAGCCAGAGACATTTAAGATGCACATGACACAAGTAAATACTACATAAAGAAGTTAAAACCTTTCTGTTTCTTGTGAAGGAAAGTGTTCTTTAAATATATGCTACTCATTCAGAGCTTGATTTTTTTCAAAACGTGTTAACAACCCTCAGTGAATCCATCACTAGACCATCAACATGCCCACCTCTAGAATCAGATTATGATATGTGTCTTATCAAAAATTGAACAGGGCTTGGAATAAAGGACTTTCTCCAGCCCTTGAGCCTGTGGGTCGCATGACCAGAACTGGGGTCCTGTGGGACAGACTGCTTACCTGGTGTGTTCTTCTTAACTTGCTTAAAGTTCTCCAGTTGGTGGTGAGTTGCCATCCTGAACTGTATTTCTGAAGAGAACTCTTCAGCCCTTTTGCATCAGACCTGAAACATATAGACTTGCCTCTGTAATGTCACAAGATAAAGACAACAAAGAGAAGCCAAGGGTACTTTTCTTTTACAATCTCCAATTCCCATGTAACACAGAACTGAGCATCACACCTACCCTGCTTGCATCATCATTAACCTTTAAGAATGACAGTTTCTAGTCACCAAGCACCTCCTATGGAATCTGCTGTGTTTTCACATATGTTATCTCTCAATCTTACAACACTTCTGTAAATCAATGATTTTTTTTTTCTCCTTTTTCCATTGGGTGAAATAGAGGCTCAGGTATTTTGCAATCTGCCCCCCTCCAAAGCCTTCCACAGCACTGGGCATGGTAAATAAGGTGGTTTCATCTCTATGACCAAGTGTTGACGGTGCTTCCTGGGACACTGCGTTAAGGAGACCTTGGAATGGTCACAGTGCAGAGGCCATGGCTCATAAACTTCATCGTGGATGTAGAAAAGGGGAATGATGTATAGATGCCACTTTTTTGCCATCCTTACACTATGCCCTACCACTTGGCTCTCCACAGGCCAAGCAAGAGGTTGCATGTGGTGTCAAAGGCTACCTACAGAATATCTTGGCACCAGATCTGTGCATTTGTCACCTTCCCTCCCATCCCCATGGATGTTTCCACCATTGAAGTCACTCGCTTGAGGTATTAAATGAAGATGTGGGTGATATCTCTCCAAGTGCAGGCCCTGGAGAATCTTCTTTCATCTTGTTCTATTTTCATCTTCTTATGGATTCATTGTCCCCATGGTGGATGAGTCACAAGAAAGAGCTTCAGTAGGGATGTGGAAGGAGAGGGCGTAAGGGGCCTGGAGGAGCCTGGGGGAGCATGACAACAGAGAAGAAGGGTCGGTGCCTTGAAGAGGAGACTGAGCAACCAAGGCCTGGTCCAGGGAGGAAGGCCCAGAAGAGGAGGGCCCAGGAGTGGGCAATGTGTGCAGGCAACAAAGACATCACAAGAGCCTGGTTACCTGCTCCCCTGGCTTAGCCACGGCGACTACCGGTGGTACAGCTTCCTCTGTGACTGACATGGGCAGGTCACTTTTCTCAGCCTTGATGTTGCCCTCTGTAACATGATGGGGTTAGACCTTACAACTCCTAAGGCCCTTCTTTGCACCAGAATTTAAAGTTTGGCAAACTTATGAACAAAACCAGCTGAGGGGAAGTCAGATGGAGAATCCAAAGATTCATACTACAATAAAGTCTTCCAGATTAGGGTTCAATTCTTGACTTTGACACGTGCCAACTTGTGATCTTGGACAAGACTCATAACCCCCTGAGTCTTAACCTTCCACAAAACTAAAAATGCCCCCTTCACAGGGTTCCTGTGAGGATTCTACAAAATAACATCTAAAGAGGCACCTGGGTGGCTCAATCGGTTATGCATCTGCCTTCGGCTCAGGTCATGATCCCAGGGTCCGGGGATCGAGCCCTGTATTGGGCTCCCCACTCAGTGGGGAGCCTGCTTCTCCCTCTCCCTCTGCCCCTACCCACCCTCTACCCGCTTGTGTCACTCTCTCTTGCACTCTCTCTCTCTCTCAAATAAATATATAAAATCATTTTTTAAAAAATAACATATATAAATTGTTCATCTCAGTGCTTGATACCTGAAAAGCAGGCAACAAATGTTTCTCTTTCTTTCCCATCATCATTGTGTACCTCCAAGAAATAAAAAGCTGGCAATAAGCAATTACATCACACCATTAATTTTTAGGCATACCCTGATTTCAAAGGTATTAAATGTGGGGGGAAATGTGAGCCTGAGAACAGAGGAGGCAGCCTTTGGGGGCTGTGAGACCCCACCAGCATCCTGAAACCAGGAGACATGGGGTGGCAACAAGCTTGCTTCCCCAGCCAGCCTGTGGTGTTTTGATTGGATGCTAAAATTAACAACACATTTTTCCAGTATGAAAAAAGTCTGGAGCGTAAGATTTAGTCTTGAAGGTCCAACTCTCACACTTTGGGGGTACACACTTTATCATAGTTCCAATATTCGATATAAGAATAAATCTTCATGAATATCCCAAGCAATTTCAGTGCTGGTCAACAAGAGAGTCAAATTAACTAAGCCAACCAATGCATACTAAATAACCCACTTTGTCCCACAGGTACTAAGTGAGGACCCACAGGAGCAAAGCTGTTTGTTGTGTAACTTACAATGATCTGTTAAGAACTGAGAAGAGATGTGCATGCTTTGATAATGTTTTTCCACATTGTCCTTTCAGAATAAACAATGCTCTATCCAAGGGTCGACTTCACCAACATTAGGCTTCCTGTGGATGAAAAAAAAAAAAGCCATGAATGAAGCTATGTGTTTCAAGGAATTAACAGAATTAGTAATTTTCTGCAAACAGATGTAAGGAAGGCCGGCCTTAGACTTTACATAGCTGTATGTTGCTTTTAATACCCCTTATTTGCGGTGGGGCAGGGGTTGGAAATCTGGGTTTACAAATGAAGACAAATGGTGAAGTCTTAGAAGAAATTAATTTTATTGAAAAGACATTTCTTCCTTTCAAAGCACTGGGTATTTGTGGGACAGCTCCTCATTTTATTGACTTAAAGAGATAATATTTGCCCTAGATGATGGTGTGGTTGCTATGGTAACTTTTTTTTTTTAACGAGACTAAAAATAATGAAGCCTGTGTCTGATGTACTAGGACAAGTCAAGCCTTTCTCCACAACTGTCTAAAAGAAGTATCTGTCAGTTGTCACAGATTTATTTCAGATTAAGGGGCACAGGGTTTAGGCACTGAAGTGGAATGTTTTTATTTCCGCCTGACTCTTCCACTTTTGAAGGTCATAGCTTTGCCTGGCATGGCAGACACATGCCTAATAGAGAGGAACGAGAGGAGCTTAATGAGTCACAAAGAAGCATTCTTTATTTCAAGTGCGTCCTGTATTCTCATTGGAACGAGGCCACAAAGCTGCTGGGTCCCCAAATCCTGCATTTGTAATTCCCTAGGCAGTTGCACAGACAAGGCCAAGGCTGTTGTTAGCTAAGCTTCGGAGCAACAGCACCTCATTTGTTCGCTGCTGGCTTTAGTCCAGAGAAAGATTCCTAGGATCACGGCTCCAAAGTGCGCCAATGTGGCTCAGCATGCCTGTGCTCGGGCTGGAGGGAAGGTGGCGGGGGAGAAAAGAGGAGAGCTGCTCTCCTCTCGAAAGTATTCACTGCACAATCCAGCACATATTTAGTAAAGCAACTACTCTGTGCCAGGCATGGGCCAGCCCTGGGGTCACTGGGCTCATTAAAAAAAAAAAAAAATGCTGATGTTGGGAGACATGGGGGAATAGCCAACAGCTGGAGGTAAGGAGAGATTTCCCTCCTGCTTCCATTTCTCTGTTTTCTTTCTTCCTTCTTTCTGGCCTTCCAGTGTTAGTGAGTCTTACCATGTGTCACACACATGGCGAGTGCGCGAGATGAAAATAGAGATGGACCCGGGGACCTGTCCTCAGGCAATAGTCTAGTGAAGATGATAAATTAACCAACGTACATATGACCCAGAAATTGCACTCTGGGGCATTTATCACAGGGAAATGGCAATTTATCTTCACACAAAAACCTGTACGCAAATGTTCATAGCAGCTTTATGGATAATAGCCCTCAACTGGAAACAACTCAGATGTCCTTCACCAGGTAAATAGTTAAATGACCTGTGGCACACCCATACTGCAGAATACCGCTCAGCACCGGCGGGAAAAAGCACGTGACGACTTGCATAGGTCTCTGGAAAATCACGCTGAGTGAAAACAGCCAATCCTGAAAATCGATATACTGTATAATCCTGGTTATGTAACATTCGAGAAATGGCAAAATTATAGAGATGGGGAACGGACTAGTGGCTGCCAGTGGTCAAGGTGACTCAGGGAAGGAGGGAAGTGGGTGTGGTTATAAAGGGTCAACATGTAGGATTTTTCTGATGCTGGAAATGTTTTGTCTCTTGAGGGTGGTGGTAGATGCAAGAACAAAACATGTAACAAAATTGCAGAGAACTAAATACACACACATTCACAAAATAAGTACAGCAGGGTTGAAGGAAGCATGGCGGTTGACTGGATCAATGTCAACACCCCGGCTGTGATATTATACCATTGTGTTTTAAGTACAAAACACATTGTGAGAAACCAAATAAAAGGTGCACAGGATTTCTCTGTATTATTTCTTATAACTGCATATGAATCTACAATTATCTCAAAATAGAAAGTTTGATTCAAAAATAAATCAACATTTTATTTAGGGGGTGGGCAAAACGGGTGAAAGTGCTCAACTAGTACAACTTCCAGTTATAAGATAAATAAGTCCTGGGGATGTACCCTACAGCATAGTGACCGTCGTTAACAATGCTGTATCATATACTCGAAAGTGGCTAAGAGAGTAGATCTTTAAAGTTTTCATCACGAGAAAAAATGTGGAACTATGTGTGGTGATGTATGTTACCAAAATTTAATGTGGTAGTTATTTTGCAACCCATACATATATCAAATCATGATGTTGTATACTAAAACTAAGACAATGTTCTATGTCAATTATACCTCAAATTTTTAAATGAAAAAACAATGACTCTGCATTCAGGAAAGCAAAACAAAGAAGTTCATTTTTAAGTATTACTGTTAAGAAGTTGAATTAAAGCAACTAGAGGCTTAAAAAATAAATCAATCGATGTATCATTAAATGGAATAAATGCAATGATAAAAATGGATATGGAAAGCTATGAGAGCTTAGACTATGCGGCATCAAAAGAGACTTTCTGGAGCAGTGACTCCAGTGCGTTAGGAGAAAATACATTCCAGGCAGAGACATATCACCAGAATTGAGGGCAGAATGTCTGTCTGTCTTGCTCACCGTATTTCTCCAATGCTAGAATTCTGATCAGCTCACAGTTAATTATCAAAACTGTTGAGTGAATAACTGAAGACATGGAAGAGGGTATGGTGAGTTGGAAAAGGTAGAAGCAGTCATCACAGTCAAGCACACAGTGCGTTCA